GGCCCCGGGCTGCCAGGCTCGAGGGAGCGGGAAGCGCCGCCGCCGCGCTCACGCGCTCGCCCGCCACATCCTGCTGCCTGGGCGGGGTGGGGAAGGCGGCTGGCACCTTCCCGCAGCTCGCACTGCCCTGCCCAGCAGCCCCGGTGCCACCCAGTCGGCACGCCTCCGCCTCCAGCCACCCCCTTCGGCACAGAGGGTCATATTTTATTCATAAACGAAGAAAATGCCGCCCTTATCTTAGGGAGCAGAAGGGACCTTGCCCCTGCACCGGTCCTCAGCGCCTGTGCCTTGTCAAGCTCTGGCACCTCGTGCGAGGCTGCCCAGGAAACGGGCAATTTTCTCTCCAGCCTGAGGTGGCCCCCTGAGGAGCTGAGGGCTCAGCTGCAGGGATCCAAGGTGTAGCCGGGAGGCTGAATTATTTCCCAGCTGAAGCAGCTCTCTGCCATACAGCCAGGGCTGGCCTCAGTCCCCATCACCCACCCCCAGCTTTCATGACCCCCCAGATTAAACACGTGGCCCTCTGCTCCAGTCAAAAGACCATGGTAGCTACCCTGGGTGCAGTGATTCTCAGCCAGGAGGTTGCCGCAGCACCCTGGGGTGCTTTGAAATCCTTTTAGGGGTGCTGTGGGGTGCCACGTAACCCACAAGATAAACCAGAGTTGGCAAACTGGGATCACAGAGAAGTAGGGCTGCAAGGGACCGCCAGAGGTCATCCAGTCCAACCCCGCCTGAGGCTGGATTATTCCTATCCAAAGCATAATCTAAATTACTAGCAACCCTGACAACACAGATCCACTGTGTCAAAACCACTATGACCTGCTGTGGTCTGAGCTTTCTGCAACAGAGGAAGTGCTCTAGTATTTTTCCATAGTCAAAAAAAAACCCCAGTGAAAACTAAGTGCTGGCATTTTCAGAGGAGGACTCGAATCTAAACAGGTTGAGAAGCACTGGTGTATTCAGGGCCACCTGTACAAATATGAAAAAAACCCCACAAAGGTAGAGCCAGGGTGTGTACTCACATGCCATTGGTACTTAAAACCACCACCTATTAGGTCCTTTTCCTCTTGAGCCCCTTCATGCTTTTTTTTTTTTTGGTTTTGTTTGCCATACTTGCCCTTTAGTGTAGCGTGCAACAAAATGAAAGGAAAGAGAAAAGACAAACTTCCACCATGAAGTGCTTAAAAAGCATTACCAGCTAAAAATACCTAAATGAGTGGTAAGCAAAGACTAGTGATTTTCTTACTTGTCTCTGCTATACCAGCGATACGACCTTCTATATATTGCAAATACAACACAGCTAGCATATACAAAAATATGCTTGTATGACTAATGCCAACTTCCCTTCCTCTCTATTGTTTCTTATTTACATTACGAACACAAACTCCTTGGGAGAATGCATTTTTGCCTTAAAAAGTCACATTATATGCAGAACACATTAGACTTGCATATACACTATCCAGGTGTAGATTTACATATACACTATACAGGTTCTTTGGGTAAATGTGGTATTTTATGAGACCAACTAAATAGTTGGAAAAATTGTTCTTTGCAAGCTTTCGGGCACAGCCACCCTTCTTCAGGCACAGAGATGCTTGCCCACTTAGGCTCCAATTTGGCTGCAGCCTGTTTCACTCTGCTATGGCTATTAGTAATATAACTATGCCTTCTAAAAATAAATTAATCTCAGACAGTGTAATAGAATAGGCACCCCCTGGTGGTCACTCTCTGCTCCTGTTCTTCTGTGGCTTCAGCTACTTGCCTCTATGCCTCTCCTGCCACACCCTGATGTTCTTAGTAAAGTTTAGAAAGGGAGGCTGCTCCAGGGCCCTAGTGCAAGCTTTGCACTGGCCTCCTACAGCAAATCTCAGATCCTGTGACACTCCAATTTCCACACTTAATTGGCCCTCCCAGTCCATGTGTGTCCCCCAGGATGCCTAGTGCCTTAGGGGCTAATCACAGCCTCTAAACTTCTCTTACAGCCGTGTCCATGCCTCACAGGTGTTATGCATCATCACTCAAGTTGGGCACTTTGCCTCAGACCACCAGGACACCTTAGGCCTCCACTCCCTTGTTGGGGCCTTGACCTTCCTAGCTTCTGCCCCACTACTCTGGCTAGTCCCTCTATCCTAGATCCACTACACCACATCTGGCTTGTCAGACTCCAATCCTTGCCTCACCCTCTTGGATTCTTGCCTGTGCCCCAACCAGGCTGTGGGCCCTCTGGCCCCAGTCTCTGCCCCTTCTTGGGCTGTGTGATCTCTAACCCCTGTTCCTGACCATCTTGGGCTCATGGATCCTCTGGTCTCAAGCTCTGCCCCTCTCTAGGCTGTGGGATCTCTAGCCATGTTTCTGTCCCTATCAGGAAACACTGAACTGCTGTCTATGCTTTGAGCCCAATTCCTGGCAGGGCTCAAGGCAGTCACATGCCCCTCGGAGACTAATGGGACCTCCAAGCCACCCCTTTCTGGTCTCACCCAAACCACCAGTTTAAGCTATAAACAAAACTGTAAGCCAACTGGCTGCAACATGAACTGCCCCACTCTGTTCCTATATCCCTGCAAGCCACCCAGGCTTAACTTGCAGGGGCCCCTATCAGCTTGAGACCTCCAGGCAGTCCTCTACAGCCTCTCAGTTTAGAAGCTCTTTCCCCTCCACCCTGCAGAGGCAGACTAATTGCTATGGCTCAGCCCTAGGCTTCTCTCCCCTAGTTCCTGTCCCTTTCTGATCAGGCAATCTCCCCAACTACCCACACATGCTTTCTGATTACACATGGCTTCACCTAATGGTAGCTCACTGCTGCTATCTAGCTGCTGTAGAAGCATCTGGTCTCCTATGCTGGACTATTGTAAGATAACCCACTCTGCAATATGCCCTCCAAGCCTGTTTTTCCCCTTGGCTATTTTCTTTGTACTCTTTTCAAACAACAGGAGACTTCTGGCTCTCTCTTACAGACAGTTACAAATTATATACTGCAACTCATCTTAGACTGATAGCCTTCCTGTATTTTGAGCTCTTAAATGGATGAGGTTGCTTCCCTTCATAATAATCACTTTACTATGAATTATGAATATTGATTTTTATTCATTGATGATGCCCAAGGGTGTGCTGAGCAGATTAAAATGCAGAGCTCCTACTTGGATTTCCAGCATGAACACATTAGGAAGACTAAAGAAGTTTTAGGTGATAGTGAAAGCTGAAGAAAGATAGTCCTAGCAGTGATATTATATGAAGACTTTTTATTAAACTATACTTATTATGCAGTTCAGATAAGATACTCACATTGTATTTAACAGTTAAACAGCATTTTTCATCTTCCAAATTGCAAGCAGACACTTTTTCTTAGCTTGCTCTCAAACACAGTCCACATACAGCATGGCATGCCAAACTACCATATGTCCACTATTGAATTTTTATAAACAGCCATATAAATTAAACTCAAAACTTGCTCTGAGAAAGAATATGATCTTGTTTTATCCTCTGAATATGTATCATCACTTAGAAATTCCTTTATCTTAAGTAACCCATTTCCCTCACCATGAACCACCCACCTCAGTAACCACTAGAACCCACTTAACGTTCTACATCAGGGTGAATGCCCGTTATTGTAATAAACTGGAAACATTCAAGATAAACACTTCGTAATATAGCATTTCACAAACTGTACCAAATTAATCCTGCCCAGTCATCCCTCTGAAACAAAGTTTTAATAACTGTAGTACCAGAGATATTTTTGCACAAGGTTGCAAGGTAAACCTTATTAATTGACAGCATAAACATATTTTTTTGCATACCCCACACTGTGGAATATAACACGTACCTTTTTTGAAAGGCAGAATCAAGAAAAAAAAATTTCTAGTGTTCTGGCTGTATTGAACAGGGACAGAGCCCAATCTTCAGCAGACTCACTGTCCTTTTCCTGTTTAGGCTAACAGGAACATATAGCAGATGGCAAAAATTGCCTCAAGATTCAGCTGCCTGAATAGCAATGCTGCCATGCTGTGGAGCAGAAATCAAAGCAGTGTGGTTCTATCTGGGGCAGAAAATCAGCTTCCCTGCTTAAATATACATACAGCAATTTGGGAGGCACTGATTTTGGAGGGGAAACAACATGAAAATATGGTAGTTTTTTTGTGGGGAGAGAAGCTGGAAAATGCTGTCTGGTTCATATGTCATTCAGTGGTGTTCTGTGGGAAAGGGGGTAGCTACATTCAGGATTGGGAGGTAATGATGGGTGCAAGTGAGAGCTACCATTTAATGGCACCTTCTCCCACCCCGTAGTCCCCAGATGAGTTATTTTATACCACTGCAACTATACACTATTTTTTAAACTTCTTTTAAAAATGTAACCCGCACTATGTTCTTAGGTCTACCTAGAACCCCAATAACTGATTGGTGATAAAGACTACAAAAGATGTTCATTTACATTGTGACAGTGGACACATATGGGTGACTAGCAGTTTACAGAACTCAGAGTACCTCTGTCACATTTACTTCTTTAAAATGCCAGTGCTTGCTCTGGCTTTAAGAAACATTTCTTCAATCTAT